TTAAAAAAAAAAAAAAAAAAAAAAAAAAGCTTAAAAGAAGTGTTTGCAAATGTTTAGGGTTTAAAGGCCTTTTGTTTGTTGTTTTATATATTGTTGTAATTGTAATTTGTAACCTTTCCCACTTGCAGTGTTTCCTTCTTTTTTTTTTTTCTTTTTCTTTTTATTGCAATAAAAAACGATAAAAACTGTCGACTGAAATCGAAACTTGGTTCGACCGGTTTTAAGATCGTGGTACTGCCACCAATACGTAACAGGTCAAAGTGAATAATATTAAATGGCAGTTGGTTTGAGTTGTTACACATAGTATCAGCGCTAGACATCGGATAGTGTGCCTGCAAGGACGTTAGGCCCCCAAGAGGGGTAGATTGTGAGATCCATGTTGGTTGTAAAAATGGAACGAAATAATTTTTTATAAGAGCGTAGAAACCTTTAAAATAGACACGTTTTAAAATTGTGAGATTGAGGTCGATTATTATATAAAATAATAATAATAATAATTTAAAACACTTTTCACATTTATATTTGAATTAAAAATAAAAAGGAAAAAAAAAAAACATTCAAGTTTTTAGTTGTAAATTGAGGCCCAAATTCAATGCTATTAGATGGCAGCCTAAAGAAATCAGGGGATTAATGTAGTTATCTCAATTAATTAATATGCAAGTTAACTATCAATATATTTTTTTCTTTTTTTATAATAAATAATCATTAATCTCTATGTTGACTAAATAACATTATCTACTTAGTTATATTTACAACCATATTTTTTAAAAATATAAACCTAAAAAATGATTTAAGCTTTTTGATAGTATATTCAACATTAATATAAATACTCATTAATTTTACAAAATTTATAAACTTTTAAAATTTAAATAATACCTAAAATAATAATAATAATAATAATATCTTTATGGGGAATTTTGGATAAGTTTCAAACTTAAACTTTAGTTAACATTTCAAAATATTTAAAAATTAATTTTGAACTTTCAAAAGTTTCATTAATATCATGATATATAAACAAAAAATACTCATAATATTACTTTTAAGAAAAAATAATTTAAAAGTTTAGAGATGATTTATGAGGGATAGACAGACGATTTTTGTCCATATATTAATGATAATATATATTTTTTTTTAATTTAAGGACTATTAATACCAATTTTAAAATTTTATGAGTATTTTTTAAGAATAGTATTAATCGGAAAATAAAGAAAAGTAAAGGGGTGTGTTGTAAAGCCTACATGATTTTTCTCGGAATTTAGACAACTAAATTGATAGGTTAAATAAATGTATTCAGTAACTATGCTGCATTTGTAATATGTTGAATAGTTTACGTAGTCAGTTAGGTAACAATCTTTTTACTTTTAATTTATTAAAATATATATTTATTTTGCCAAAACATTACGAAATGGTTGTCCAATTTCAAAATAATTTTTTTTTTATTGCAACCTTATTTTAATTTTTTAAGTTCAGTTTGTAAATAATATTATTTGTTTTTGCATTTATTTATTTATTTTCATTTAGAAATTAGGCAAGAGCTGTTAAAAATCACATTTAATTTCCTATAAATACTGCATTACTGTGGCTATTGTCAACTCTGAATTACATCTAATTTACTTGCATTTCACTTGCATTTGGTGAGATAAAATTTCCATCATAAAATAAATAAATAAATACAGGAAAATCGGGGATAAAAGGCAAAGGATATTTAAAAAAGAAAAAAAGAAAAAAAAAAGAAGAAGAAAGGAAGGCAGAATCCCGTATTTTGCTTGAAGCCAATGCTTCCTTCCTTTCCCCTTTGCTTTTCCCCCTCATAACAAACTCCATTGCAGCGATTTCTATTGAAACAGAATGATTACCATTCCTCAGAACCATCAGAGAAAATTCCCCGACGCCGAAGATTGGATCTCCGAGTCCATCAACGGTGGATCCTTACGCCACGTCGATCTGCAAACTGGAACCAACGGCTGGGCTTCGCCTCCCGGCGATCTTTTCTCCATCCGCTCCAAAAACTACTTCACGAAACGGCAAAAATCGCCTGCCGGCGATTATTTGCTTTTCCCTGCCGGAATGGACTGGCTGAAATCAACTTCCAAACTGGAAAACGTTTTGGCGCGTGAAGACAATCGCGTGTCTTTATCTCTCCTTCGAGCACAAGCCGAAGGAAAATCGCTGAAGAGCTTCATTTTCGCCGTGAATCTTCAAATCCCCAGCAATATTGACCAATACAGCGCCGTGTTCTATTTCGCTACCGAAGATCCGATCCCGACTGGTTCGCTTCTCCACCGGTTCATCCACGAGGACGATACCTTCAGAAACGAGCGGTTCAAGATCGTGAACCGGATCGTGAATGGACCGTGGATTGTGAAGAAAACCGTCGGAAATTACAGCGCCTGTTTGCTCGGAAAGGCGTTAGCGTGCAGTTATCACAAAGGTACGAATTACTTTGAGATCGATGTCGATATCGGGAGCTCGGCGTTGGCATGCGCGATTCTGCGATTGACATTGCTCTACGTTAATTCCGTAACGATCGACATGGGATTTCTGGTCGAGGCAGTTACGGAGGATGAGTTGCCGGAGAGATTAATCGGCGCCGTTAGGGTTTCTCAGATCGAGATGGAAGCGGCGGCGGTGGTAGAATCGGTTACTGGACCGCCGCGTCCGTTAGAGAACGGTAAGGTGGATCAACTGCTGAAGTCGAGCAACGACGATTCTGAAGAAAAAATTTGTGATACAATAAATGAAATTCTTCGGATTGAAGATTCTGCAAACGTAATAAAAGTATGAATTCTGCAACAAAACAAAACATCGGATTCTCGAAGCTTCGAGGTTTTTCCTTTTTTTTTTTTTTTTTTTTTTTTTTTAATTAACAAAAATTTAATATTGAGTTTTTTAGTGGCAAATGCATTGCTCGCTATTAGATTTCGATGGAAATGGTTTTTGTTAGCATTGCATATATATATATATAGAGAGAGAGAGAGAGAGAGAGATTAAGTTGAGTCTCAATCTAATCTACAATTTTTTTTTTTTTTTTTCTGGTTTCAATTTAACATCCCTTTCGTAATTCCCATATTTTCAAGTATTTCTTGTTCTTCCTTTTAACCATATTTTCAAGTGATCTTCCACAATTGATCGAGCTCTTTGTTGTTCTCTTCAACAATTCCATATCTTGGTTTGCTAGCTCCTCTCTTCAATGGATTAAATTTTGATGTTTGGATCTATTTGTTTAATAATTCACTTGTGATTAAATCATAAAAATGTGTATACTAAGTCGATACATTTTAAAAAGAGTATCAAAATTAATAGATTAAATTTATAATTTCAAAAATTCAGGTTAAAATTTGTAATGTAATTAAATATCATTCAATATACTAAAAAAACTAAATAAAATAAACATATAATTCTTCCCCCCAAATGGTTCGGTATGTTTAAAATTTTTCAACTTACTCTTGCACAATGATATGATATTATCTACCTTCAGCATAAACTCTCATGGTTTTGCTAGTTCCCTAAAAAAAAACTCATATCAATGGAGATGTATTCCTCACTTATAAATCCACAATCAATCTCTTAGCCCACGTGAGACTCATCTGCTAGCATTCATACCCACGCCACCCTAATATTTAAAATCAACTGGCCAGCTAAAGTAACAAAATTTGCAATAACAATAAGGTACAAACTTCTTCCTGATATATGTGTAATGGATCAACACATTCAAATTTAAAACAAACTTCTTCCTGATATATGACTCCATATCTTACGGAGTCGGATGATTTTGGAAATTAAGAAATGATCATAACAAGACATTTAAAATAAAGAAATGCAAAGAAGCCACCGTTGATACACTACTGAAAGGAAACAAGTAGATTAGTGTTCATTTTCTTACCACCCCCAAAAGATAGGGCTCTTAATCGTTGTTTCCATGCGAGCTTCAATTGAATTATTTGCAGTACTTTACTTCTTCTGTGTGTCTCTAAATCCTATATGAATACTGCTACTGACATACTATAAAGTCTACAGCAGACACTATAGTTCAACATACTGATATAAATATATCGAACAAAAAAGTGATAGAGAAATAGGAACAGGTATTCATTTATTAACAAAGAAACATGTTCAACTATGTGTTAGAAACATATTCAGCTATGTGTAAGGATTATTGAGGGGAGTAGTCATACTTTGGGTGTATGAAATCTTTTGGGAAAACTAAAAGTAAAACCACGAGAACTTATTTTCAAAGTGGACAATATCATACCATTGTGGAGATCGTAATTCTTAACATGGTATCAGAGTCATGCCCTTAACTTAGCCATGCCAATAGAATCCTCAGGTGTCGCACACAAATTGTAAGCCTCAAAGGTGTAGTCAAAAGTGACTCAAGTGTCGAACAAATAGGAGTCGAGCCTTGATTAAGGGGAGGTTGTTTGAGAGCTCCTGAGAAGAAGGCTCTATAATGTACTTTGTTCGAGGGAAGGATTGTTGAGGATTATTGAGAGAAGTAGTTCCACATTGGCTAATTAAGGGAAAGATCATGAGTTTATAAGTAAGGAATACTATATCCATTGGTACGAGACATTTTGGAAAAACCAAAAGCAAGACCATGAGAACTTACGCTCAAAATGGACACTATCATACTAATGTAGAGGTCGGAGTTCCTAACATTACTTATCATAAAACTTTTGAGAAATGAGATCTAAAAGCTTTGTGCCAACCTTGTGCATCTTGGGTTTGAATAAGAAAGTACATGTGCAAGTGAGAACGTAAAAGTGCGTCAATATGCTTTGTTCATTACAATCCAGCTTCGATTCTATAACTCCCTCGACATTGAATAGTTAAGTATAACCATTCATTGAATACAGCAATCTTTGTTGACGGTAATGAGTTTCTAACATTGCTCCTACTGATGTACACTATTCACTATTAGTTTACTGTATAGCATTGGCTACTGGAAATTAACGTTTAGTGTATCTCTACGAAGCATGGCGGAAAGCTACAGAACCAGCTATAACTAGACCGATCGATTATAGATCAAAGAAACAGAGGAGACAACCTATTTCGACCGACATTGAAGAAAAGATCTGCTGTGTATCATTCTCAACTGTTAGGTACAGTAACCAGTAATAGAAATGGTATCAAACACGTTTTTCTGTTAGCATTGCAGCTATGAGCTTCGTAAAGAATCAAGAAATTAGGGTTCCACTAACCTTCTTGTCTTCCGCTAAGTAAATCAAACTGTTCTTTAATGTGCTTTCCGCCTTTGAGGCCTGTTGTCCGTCGCTAATCTGTAAATCCAGTAGACCTGAGACAAAACTTCGAGATCAAATGATGAATTTCGCACTTGAAGCGGCTGTGTTATAGAATGAAAACGCGAAGGCTGGAGTTGAAATTGAAGTACCAGAGCGAGAACATGTGCGGCAATTAGAATAACAACGATAAAAGGCACGACATCGAGAATCCACGGCCTTGAATCAACCTGTTGCTGGTTCGCCATTGCAGATAGAAATCGATCGCGACTACGATACCCCTGGCTTGCCAACACTTCGATTTGTTAGGTCGGACTAGAAAGTAAAGCTAGAGAGAAATGAAACTTGAGCAATGATGAACTGAGCAGGTGAAGAAGAAGCAAAGTAATGGATCGTCGTTAATGGAGTCCGATCCGACCGCGCAAGAGCCACATGTCTACACGAGACTCCACCGCCGAAGAAGCTCCATAGAAATCATGGATTAGGACGCTCTCGCATGGCCCAATCAAAACGAGAATTCGGCCCGATTTCACAGTCCCCATGACCCATTTACCGCCAACATTAATTTATTATAAGTGCAATTAACTAAATTTAAATATCCATTTTGACAAATATATAATTAATAACGAAAATATTCAACTTAGAGATTTAGAAAGAAATTAAAGCTGCGCGGGCAATGTGCAATTAACTATGGCTATGGTGACGTGTACTTGAGATGCCAGCATGCTAATGCTGTCCCTATTGTTTCATACTTGCTTCCAAGTAATCCCTTGCCATTCAATTAAGCAATCTAATCGCAATTAATTAAAGGTCAAATGGTTAACTAATTTAATTTGACTTAATTAACTTATAATAAATCAGATTTTAACGAGCTTAAGTTTATTTTCTCAATTCCTTAGGTTTATATATTTGGATTTCTAAAACATTCGATAAATATCGTCTATTTTTAATTTTCAATTTTCATAATTTTATTTTAGGTTCAACAAAAGAGGTCTTAATTTGTATTTTTATTTTTATGTTTAATAAATTATTGACATATTTAATATTTTATGTTGAATACGGCAAAGATCGATAAATTAAAAGTTCCTAATCTATTTAATATTTTTTAATTTAAAATTTTATTAGATACAAATTTAAAAATTCAAGGATATTAAAAAGTAAATATACACACTTTTTAAATTTAATTAAATATTTTACAAAATAAAAAATAAGATAAATTTTATTATTTTTTAAATATGCATATTTTAAACATTTTTATATAGATTTATTGGATAATTTTAAATTCATATATATTTAATCTATAACATTTCATTATATCTAATAAGACATTAATTTTTTCTTTTTTCTTTTTTATAAAAAAGTGCACACATAAAACTTAATTAATCTATTAGATATAACTTTTTTAAAATTATTTTTTAAAACCAGATAATTAGAAATAAAAAAACTCGTGTGTATATATATATATACACATGGCCGCACGGATGTAAAAGAAAGGAAAATATACCATGTAGCTAAGGTTCACAAAAAGAGTGGTGTACCTTTTTTGTATGTGCGCCACGTATGTGTTGTGGGCCCGAGAAAGAACGGGTATGCCTATTCCAACTGCTCTTCAAAATTTCTCACGGTGGCATTGACTCAGTCCTACCGTAAGCTCACCTCTTCCTACGGCGACGCCTAATTCTTCGAGACTATTAACCCCGACACATCGTAAATTACCTTTTTTTTTTTTTATATTATTTTAAAATTTTATTAATTTTTTTAAAATGTGATATTATTGAGTATTTTTAAACTTTTAAAAAAATTTAAAAGCATTTTCGAAGTTATAAAAAAAAAAAGTTAAAAACTTTTTGTAATAAAGTATCAACCAATTCTTTTGGATAAAAACATTTTTTAAATTTTATTAAGAATTTAAAGACATCATTAAAAAATTTAAAAATATTTTTTATAAAAAAAATAGTCTTTATTTTATTTCATCATTACTATTTTTTCTCTCGTTTTTAGTAAAATAAATACCAAAATTTAAAATATCTGCTCTTATTTATCCCCAATCTTCAAATTTCTTTTCCGAAAAACTATATAATAATTTTTTTTAAATTTAGATTTTCCTCTTAGCTGCCCCAACAAACCAACATCCCAAAAAGTGCAACAAAATCCTCCCCTGTTTCGTTTTCTCCCTTGAACGCTTCTTCTTCTTCTTCTTCCACCAGGTATTCTTTCTCTAGAAACTTCTCTCTCTAAAACTTTCTAACTTAGTCTTCGTGTTTGTTGGTTTATGTTGTTGAATCATTTGCTATATGGTTGTAATTATTGGTCCAATTATCATCATCGCTGTCTGATGTTTTCGCCGAAACTTTTGGGTTTCACACGGCGTCCGTGTTCTCGAAAGATATAAGATCCGTGTTATTGCATAATTTTTCAGGATTATTTCTGTTTATTGTGAAATCTGAAACCGGAGGGTTGTGGTTGTGGTTGTGGATATAATTTCAGGTTCCGGTTTGATTTCGGCGGTTCCGCGGGCATTCGAGGAACGCCTTGTTCCTTCCACTTCTGTAACCATAGCTAC